ATTAGGAAAGTCATGCCTTTGAAACCAAACATGGGTTTGGAGCAGCTGCTGTGGGCTCTCCTGTGTGAGGATTTCAAACGTGAGCATTACGGAGGAAACTGGGCCGTGGTTGGAGATAACCATCAACCATGTGAAATCACTAAAAGCTAATGGAACAAGTTGTTCATGTTATGACTCCCCTCCAAAATCTGATTTATGTGATTGTTGGTTCCACTGGTTGATACAGAGTTACAAATGAAATGTTAAAAGGACCATAAATGACTAAAATCATTATCCACTGTTTGCAATGTTCCAAAATGTGTCCCCTGCATTTCTTTGGACTTGGTAAAAACCAAGTTAACTGATGGGACACCTGAACATAACACCACTGTGAATTGTGCCAACTAACTGGGCAGCTGTAGCTACAACTGTAGCTGCCTCCACCAGTGTGTGAATGTGAGAGTGAATGAATAGTGGCATTGTAAAGCGCTTTGGGTGCCTTGAAAAGCGCTATATCAATCCAATCCATTATTATTATTATTATAAAATATAGTTTAAGATATGAAAAAGTTTTGTTTCTCAAAATGTGTTGTGCTTTGCAAAGAAATCCCCTATAAAGTAATGAAAAGGAGGGTTTTCACAGGACCCACCGCAGCATTTCAGTCATGTTTAGGCATAGACTTTGGCTCATTGCAACACTTTTGTTTCCATTCTTTTGTGCTTGGGATCACTGTCCTGTTGCATGGTCAATTGGAGATTAGGTATCGGAATTTCAGGAGCGGGTTCTCATCTATATAGGTTCTCCCAGTTCTACAAGCTGTTCATTCTCGTTTACGTGCCCCACCCTCCCTTACCTTTTCAATTCTTTAACTTCTTCACTTCTATTTAGTACATGGGGATCTGCCAGGCCCAGGAGCAGCAGCCAGTCCCCTTCGAGGCTTTCCGCAAATTGCAGCTCAATTCATGTCCAAGCATTCACCTTTACATACTAAAATGCTGTCAAACTTAAAATCAGGACGTGGGTCCAGCTAGTGAAATAACGGGTTTTAGCTGTCGGACAGACCTGACATTTGACTCTATTTGAATATTTTGTTGTACAGAGGAGTTCATGGTCGACTCAGTGACTGCAAGGTGCCCAGGCTCAGTAGTTGCAACACAATCTGAAATCATCATCTTTCCACCAGGACTGTGATTTTTGTGCTGATAGCTGTGTTTGGGTTTTACCAAACGTGGCGCCATGCATTATGGTTTGCAGACCTGTAAACCTAAGCTGTTCAGGTCTGAAACTTTAACATTGAATGTACTAACTGAGGCATGTACAGTCTGAGATGTTGCTCTTGGGTTTGTTGCAGTCTCCCTGAGGATTGCACAGGCTGTCCTTGGTGTTAACTTGCTGGAACTAATCACAATGCTGGAAGATAGCATTGTGTTAACACACACACCTGAATGCTTCAGACCTGCTCACATTTGCTGCTGATCAGTTAATAAAGTGCATTTGATTACCCCCCCCCCCCAAAAAAAAAAAATCAATCACAACACAGGATACATTGTTTCACCGCAGAGGACTTTGATGATTTTGATTAACCTCATGTGATGCATTTGATTAAAATTATAGTTTATTTCCATTTTTTCCTCATCAGCTCATCCTCTTTTGTGTCTTTTTAAATAAAAAATAGTGCTGTTGTGGTGTTTGTTGTAAACCTAAAAGAAGAAGTTGGACATCAGCTGTGGCGGCCGAAGATGAAAAAATTCCTGACTGGAGCCACTTCAGATTGCTGGCCCGGTAAGATTGCACCTACCAGCTCGCAGCCTGGTGAGGGCTGCTTGCATAGTGGCTGGAATGAATCATCGGAGATAATGTGCCTCTTTGTTGAACACTTGGCACTCCTCGATTGCAGACCAAACATCTGACTGGAAGATGCTCAGACTGACATTTACACACAAAGAGTAAGAGCTAAACAAATTATTGATATGTTTTTGTAGCAGTGGTGAGAAGTGACTACTATCCAAAATCTGTAGGCATTTAAATCGTAACACATTGGGTTTGCAAAGCAGTGAGTCAGAGAAAGAATTGGTTTCCATTAAACTGTGTGCTGGGTTTATAAAGTCAAGACTGGTAGTGAAAAAAAAGAAGTGCAAGAACTAAGAGGTTGTTCCCTGGATATTAGCAGTGCATTATTCTTCAAATTACATAATGCGTATTAAAACAACTCATCCATCCCTAACCTCTGCTCCGATTTGTGTAACCTTCTTAACAGTAGTTATGATAAAAGAAAAAAAAGAAAGAGCAATAGGAAAGCCAACATGTTAGTAATCGCTCCTGGCTTTGTGCTTTGATGCAGAGAGTGACTTTGCAAAACCTCTTTGATGTAAAACATGGATGGAATTGTACAATTCCCTAACACTTTCTCAGGAAATGCGCCAGAGTGGGACATGTATACATGGAATAAAAGTTCTTTCACAATAACAAACCAATCAGTGCTTGTAACTAAACAGCTTCTATCCAAATGTGTACTGAATGAAGTCACCTTGCTGGAAATTACACCAAACCGCTCAACGTCAACAAATTAAAATGCTTGTGTGGCTCCAGCTAGAGAGAAGCAGAAGAAGAACCTTGTTGGAAAAATCTCCCCCCCCCCGCCACCAAAAAACCTGCATCTTGTTCAGACGGTACTTTAAATAGACTGCTTCAGTAATTGCAGAGTAGAGCTGTTGAGCGCTGGGAGCACCTATATGTCACATTAATCCAGTATACTGTGGTTGGCAACCCGCCCCACCAGAGGAGGGATTAAAGCCAAAGAAGTGTTCACAGCACATGCTACCAATAAAGTAGTGCATCAAGTTTAGGTACCCACCAGTAACTCTCAGGTACTGCTGCATGTCAACACTGGTGTTTTGGCTTTTGCATGGCAGTCCACTCTGCAATGCATTTAAGTTCACCTAGAGCCAGGCGACTGGCACCGATTAATGTATTATATTCCTCGAGGCTGATCATGACTAATGCCAAATGAGTGGAACTGGCTTCCAGCAGCACTAAAGAAAAAAAAAAAATCCCAAACTCCTGAATTCTTTGGACACTTTGAAGGAAGAAAGCTACTTCCCCCCCCCCTTTTTATCAGAGCTCAGAGCCAAGTCCTGCCAATCAGAGTTGTGCCATTAACTCTGTCCTTGTTTGTCCTTGAAGCCAAGCTCAAAACGTGGCACAGGCCAGTTAAATTGTTTTATGGTCTGTGTGAATGCAACATATGGACTGAGGTACTTGAGATACTTAAAACCATAGCTAGTGTTCTATAGGACGCATTGTTTAAAAAGCTTCAAGTTGGTCCGCCTCTTTCATCACATGAGGGAGATCCAAACAAACAAACTATAGTAACTGTATATTTCCTCCAGTACCATTTCTCATTTACATTTGTTGACTGAAGTTATTCAGAGAGGGTTGTCAGTCCACCATAATTCAAAGCGTGAATTTGTCAGGCACAAGAGGCATTTTCTGGGCAGAACCGTTAAATGGGTGGATTGGGTGTTAATGAGGTTCGTGTTACTCACAGATAATTTACCCTTGGACTGTGCCCAGAAGGTTTTTTCAGGTTAGAGTGCACAGACACAGATGGAACTAGTTTGAGCACCACAGAAATGTTTGAAATGGATAGATTCAACACTCATCTTGAGATCAAAGTTGCGCTGCTAAGCCAATATTGATATTTGCTGGCTCCTTTACCTGCTATATATTTTTCATGAAAGTATCTCAAAATCTCCATAGAAATGCGCCTGGCACCGAAAAGACATGATGGATGTGCCATGAGGCAGAACGGATAAAGAAATTCTACAATCAGATGAAGACAGCTAGAAAAAGTGAGACTTTACATGGACAAAATATTTATTTTAGGACTCTAGGAGCATAGCCATAATGCACCTAAAAGTACACTTGGACACTGGGAGATAAGGAATATAAACAGCTGTAACTTTTAAGCAAATAAATACAACAACAAATGGACTACAGCATACCCAGTCCCAGATGCTTGACATGTTTTCCAGTTGGGGACTGAATAACTCAGAATCTCAGCCAAATCCCAGACTAAGAAGCAATCAAAGCAATGCAGGCAGAGGAGAGAAAGCAAACTCACTAGCTGAATGATAGTGGGAGGCAAACTCTCTCCCTTTCAGTCTGAAACTGATAAGTCTCAACGACAAACTGCACTTGAAACTAGCTCCTCGGTTCTGTACACACATGCTACAAGAGCTGCAGAAAGCTTTTAGAGTCACTCTCACATTCACTCTGTCCAACGCAGGAGTTCATCAGGAGTGAATCAGAAGTATGTGTTTTTTCCTGAGTAGAAAGAAGAGCCAGCTGGAGCCTCCTCTTACATTTTTTGGATTGGATCTGCAGCCATATAAACATAAGCACGCATATGGATAGGTGTGCACACAGGAGCCAGTTCAAGTGTTTGAAATGCACTAAAACACATGCATGTGAAGCGAGTTCGGAGACTTGAGGGGCGTCTTGTTATGGTTTACTTTTAGATTGCACAATAATAATGATGCAATAGGGGAGTGCAATCATTAAGATAAATATGTGGCATTTAAAATTTAATATTCAAATGCATGGGACAGAAGTGTGAAGTCATAGACAGCATGTACGTGCACACTTTTTGCGAACATGAAACATAAAATAAGAACTCTTTTCTATATAGATTGTATTGTGGGAATTAATAAAAATCAAATGAGCAGCAGTCATCAATAAATTAGCAAACCAAGCATACTAAGCAATATAATGCAGAGCTCTTTTTAAATCAACTATTTATTTTGCACAAGTTTAACATCTGATGCAAACAATATCAATTTTAGTTATTATATAAAGCCTTTATATGTACTTCTTGCTACCTTGTGGCTAATAAGCATCAGCAGACATTTTGATGACTGAGGATTTTAAGTTTAGGAACAAAACTTTTTTGCACCTGTTCTAAACCTTTGATTGATGCAGCAATAATTATGACTCCATTCACCTGCGGTTATGCACTTACCTCCTTGAAGAGAGGGTTGAATCAGTGCTAAGAGGAAGAGTCCACAGAAGAGCAACAGAATGTTTCTGTTAGCCATCTCGCTCCAAAATGCACCACCCCTCTCCCGATCAGCTGGTTTTATTCTCTTCTGGCTAATTACCACTAGCCCCGAAGTCTCAAAGAGTGATGAAAAAAAAGAAGCAGGGGGAGGGTGAAAAAAGGGAAAAGCTCAACGTAATTATGAGAGGGCAAACACTCTGGTTCAGTGGATCACTTTGCTTTATTTCCTCGTCTATGTCTGGTGTTGCTGTTTTTATTCTGGTCACTCCTGCCAGCAGCACAGACGCTCCTGCCAGCAAGGAGAGGGAGAGAGAGAGAGCGAGAGACATACACACAGATACAGAGAGGGAGAGGGAGCAAGAAAGACCCCCATCCAGAAGGAATTGAATTGACTGCCAAGCATTTGCACGGATACAGAGCATACTTATTTGTTACAGACTGAGGAAGAGCAAACAACAAACCCAGATAATTACCTGCGCTCTGTGGCTTTAATTTTCAGCTTGTTGCTTTTCAACACTTGCAGTGCCACGATCTTGCAACTCTTTTAACCAAGCAATCACAAAAACCTGAGGATAGAGGGTGAAAAGAAACACAGCAAGAGTCAGCATCTTTCCACCAAATATAAGAGCCACATATTAAAAACGTCCCTGGCTCCAAAAACAGCTGGGGAAACTGAAACATGCTGTGCCCGGCAACCCGCGATGCAAAAGGCAGGAATCGTCACTCAAAGATGACACCGTGTGAAGAAGCCAAGGATGATGTTTCTTAGGAGCTAGTCGATGTCTCAGAAAGTTCATGAGGACCTCAGTCAATGTCAGGCTTCCGGGTTGACGTAATTGTGCTCCTTAAATAGTGAAGTTTTTATTTGTGCCCCTGATAACTTTGGTCGGTTTACATTTGATCAGCTGTTCAACCTAAATAAGTTGGTTGTCTTCTACGATCCTGTTTTTAAACATTTTATTGCCTGAGCAAACCATCCCTGGATCAAATTCAGTTCAGTTTGGTTTGATCTATATAGACATACAATGACTGTCTCGCCACTCTCGCCATTTCATTTGAGCAAGCAAATGGCGAGAGTGGGAAGGAAAAACTCCCTTTTAACTGGAAGAAACTCTCTCAGGAAAGGGGATCCACCTGTTGGTTAGAGAGGATGGGGGGAAGACAGGAGAAAAGACACACTTTGGAAGAGAGCCCGAGATAAATAATAACTAATGATTAACTGCAAAGTGGTGTGTAAACGCATAGAAAAAGAAAAAGGAGAAGAAATGTTCAGTGCATCATGAGAAGCCACCAGCAGCCTAGGCCTATTGCAGTGTAACTAAGGGAGGATACAGGGTCACCCAATCCAACACTAACTTGATCTTTTGTGAAAAAGGAAAAGGATCACCCTACACTCTACAAAAGGTCCAGAAGGCTGCTACAAGGCTTCTTATTAGCTCATGTGACAAAGTTTAAGGCTTAGTTCAAGATTTTGGTGATCACTTCCTGAACTCAGCATGGTGGCACCGTAGTTAGCACTGTTCTCTCACAGCAAAAAGGTTCTGGGTTTGAATCCACCATGTGACCAGCGCTTTTCTGTGAGGAGTTTGCATGCTTTCCCCATGTTTGTGTGGGTTCTCCCTGTGTACTAACCTTTCTCACATAGTTCAAAAACATGCAGTTAGTGTTGTTAGGTTAACTGGTGATTCTAAATTGCTCAAAGGTGTGAGTGGTTATTTGATTCTCTGTTTTAGCCCCGTGACCAACTGATGGCCTCTCCAGGGTGCACCCTGCCTCTCGCCCTATGGCAGTGGGGACAGGCTCCAGTCTCCCTGTGACCCTGAATTGGATAAGTGGAAGAAAATGGATTGATAGATGGACTCTCTCTACTCTTCACAGTCAATGTTCTGTGTCAGTGAGCTTTATAATCCTTATGTAACTTGCCAGACTTTGAGGTCTACGGACCAAAGTGTCCTCAGTCCAGGCTGAGAAATGGTGCTTTTGAGGTTGTGGCTCCAAGGTGTTGTAGAACTAACATTGGTTGATTTACACTGTTAATACATTTAAGAAGAAGTTTAAAACCACCTGTGAAAGCCTATCTCAGCTGTCTTAGGGCGAGAGGCAGGGTACACCCTGGACAGGTCGCCAGTCTGTCGCAGGGTTAACACATAGAGACAGACAACCTTTTCCACTCACATTCACACCTATGGGCAATTTAGAGTTACCAATTAACCTAACCCCACTAACTGCATGTCTTTGGACAGTGAGAGGAAGCCGAAGTACCTGGAGAGAACCCAGGCAAACACGGGGAGAACATGCAAGCTCCACACAGAAAGACCCCGGGCAGATGGTGGACTTGAACTCAGGACCTTCTTGCTGTGAGGCAACTGTTCTATCTCATTTATTTCATAGGATCCTGTTTTCACTTTTGTAATAGCAGGATCTCACTGACTTGACCCTTGGAGCATCCATCTTCACACTTCACCACTTCTTCAAACCAAATCCTTCTCAGTCAGTCCTGCCTAAGCATATTTAGCAACACCTGCACGGCTGAGCTCAACAAATCTTGCTTACAAATCATTACTTTTACGTGGGTGATGTATTTGTCTTTGAATGCGCAGGTGACAAAAACTACTTTGGGGGAAAAATATAGCAGATAAACAGCTCGCTGTATTTTCTACTCATGGTTTAAAAAAATACAACGCCAACAAATCAGTTTAAAAAAACTTCGTTACCTCCCCACTCATTAACTGTGTCACACTGTGAGTGTTTCATAGACACAACATTACCACTGTTAGATCACTAACGTGATACATCCTCTCCAGACACCTGTGCGCAGATTGATCTTGGCTCTGCACGCCGAGCCATTACTTACAAAACACCTCACTGCTGACAAAGCTGTCATTGTGCATCTCTTTTTTTCTGCTCTGGGACATATATTTTGGATTTTAAGTGGAAGAGGTTAAGCAGAGGTACTTTTTTACTGGCGAGAGCTGCGGCCAAAGCCATTACTCTCTCAGACACAAACCTGACAGACTGGGTTGTTGCATGCATGCTAATGGGTCTTGCCTTCCAAGATACACAGTATCCTTCATAGTAGTGACAGCCACCCGTTAATGTTCATATTCCCTCGTGTTGATTTTCTTGACGTTAGGTAAGGCATGCAAACAATATCAGCTGTTACAGGTTCGATCAGAATGAAGGCAAGGTATATATTTTGGTTTGAATTATGATGTTGAGTCATGCTGTTATGGATCAGCTTCAATTTCTCAGCTAATTAGAAATAATTTCCATTTATGCCCATCTTCCTGAAGGAGTGCTCCCCACATCACCTCTCATAACAAAAGGCAACTTATATATGCTTAGGATATCACTCTATCATACACTCTATCAAGTCAGACTTCAAGAGTAAATGAAAACATGTGTTGTCCTCGGTAAACTCATCAAAGACACAGAACAAGTCCAAAACAGTCTATTCCAGTCAAGATCCTGGAAAGTTTTAAATTGCTCTCAACTCTTGTGATTAAAGTAAATCATTAATTACAATCCAAACATCAGGACGACACTGACCTAATCCTGCATTCTGCATGGCGGTATTCGTTCCATGTTTGGTTTCAAACCAAAAACCCCAGCTGACTACTCTGTTTGGGAAACAAGTGTATTCTGGATGAGAGCTTCGTTTTTCTCAATTTATTCACAAGACTAAATGTCTATTTTAGCTCATGTCTGGTATTCTTCCTTTGGGCTGAGTTGGATGGTGTTTTTGCCAAAAGAGCTGAGACTGAACATGGACTCTGGTGAGGGTTGATGAGAGGTCACACAAAGCCCACTGCTATTAATTAGACAATGAACTTATTGGTTCTTTGTAACAGCTTCTCTGATGGGTTAACAAGCTGCGATTTCTCTTTGCTTTTTCCACAAGGAAAAATTGTCCAGAATTTATGGTTTTTCAGCGCAGTAGCCAATCTCCAGGAGCTAGTCTGACATGGATTCACTAATTCGGCTCACCGCAATGTAATGTAATTAGGTCAACTGTGTAACTGTAATGTTGGTTTTCAATTAAGATAACTGGTGGGCAGGCAGCCTGTTCACTGACAGCTGGAAGAAGTCCAGACCTCAAGAGATCCTCAGTGATTAAGAAAATTGATCAGTGAAGAATAACTAGTGGACAAGGTTGCTGTTCAATAACACCTTATGATTATGTTCCAAGAATTACACACTTACAGACAAATTCAAGAAAACGCCAAATCCTGTGACGCCATGATGGTGTAAGTTCTGTTATGCTGTCGAGGACATTGTTCTGGTTTGGGTCAGTTTCTAAACTTACCCAAATAGTACAAATTGTTTGGAATCAACTCATTTACAGTCATGTGAAGAAGAACATGTTCCCTCTCTGCTTCCATAGGCATTAAGAGGCTCAATAGGAACCAGGTGCTGCTAATCAAATGTACTTGATTAACTGATCATCAGCAGGCGGGAGCATCTCTATAAAAGCAGAAGTTTTGGCAGTTTGCTGGTCTGGAGCATGCAGGTGTGTGTTAACACAATGTCAAAATCTTCCCAGGAATGGATGTTCCAGCAAAATCACCCAAAGGTCGGTTTCTCCAGAGTGTGCAATCCTCTGAGAAACTGCAACAAACCCAAGAGCTGCATCTCAGACTCTACAGGCCTCAGTTAGCATGTTTGATTTCATGACAGTGCAATGAGAAAAAAACTGAGCAAGTATGGCTTGTTTGGACATGTTGCCAGGCTTTGTTCTCTCTCTGAACAAACCACGAGATGCCTGGGACAATGTCCCTTGGACAGATGAGATCAAAGGGGAGATGTTTGGCCATAATAAACAGCAACACATTTGGAGAAAACCAAACACAGCATATCAGTGCAAACACCTCATACTATCTGTCAAGCACAGTGGTACAGGGGTGATGATTTGGCCTTGTTTTGCAACCACAAGACCTGGACACCTTGCAGTCTTTGAGTCAACCGTAAACTCCTCTGTATACCAAAGTATTCTAGAGTGAAATGTGAAGCCATGTGTCCGACAGCTAAAGCTTGGCCCAAACTGGGTCACGAGACGGGACAATGATCCCAAGTGCAGCAGGAAATCTATAACAGAATAGCTGAAAAAAAAGAATCGAGGTGTTGCAATGACCCAGTTAAAGTTCAGACCTCAACCTGACTGAAACAGACCTCAATGAACTGTAACACTGTTGTAAAGAAGAATGGGCCCAAATTCCCCTGTAATGATGTGAGAGACTGATAGTCATACAGAAAATGATTACTTCAAGAT